TACAGATATGCATCTTGTCCTTCCCAAACAGTGACTGGAGAGGCACAAATCAACATTCATGTCAACTGGGAAGATGACGAATGCGACCATTGTCAAAAAAGAAAACAAGCACCTAAATCTGTGCAGGAGTGTGTGTGTGTGCTGTGGTGGTTAGTGTGGTGTACACGAAACAGATGTTACTAATGTTGTTCACTACAACAGAACCGCTAGCTGCTAATACGAAATAAAGGCCTGTTTACAGATCGGGTGAATGATGAGGTAGCTACTGTACGTGAATGTTGCATATATGTTAATTATTGTATTTCCACCTCGAGATGTTAATTAAACATTGTTGTACTATTGTGTTGCGTTGTTCCGATGACAAAACTGTGTGTGAATACACAACTGCACACTGTTGAAGCGATTGCATTCATGACATTGAGATGTGCGCTATACTTTCCCAGACTGCAACAGTGTTGGCTGGGCCGAAACTATGATGCTGTCTGTGTTGGTCAGAATTGATCCCTAATGTGAACCCACACAGTTGCACTGCATAAGAAATGAATCCCTGTTTCGTCTTGTCCAGACTGTGGCGGCTTCGAGTTTTTGGCAATGAAGAGCCAGATTCCCCCCGGGGTGCGTGTCCCGTACAACCATGCGACTCGCTGATTAAAGGAGTAGTTCACTTTTCAAAAAACTTTTGCTGATAATTTACTCGCCCCCATGTCATCCAAGATGTCCATGTCATTCTTTCTTCAGTCGAAAAGAAATTAAGGATTTTGATGAAAACATTCCAGGATTTTTCTCCATATAATGGACTTCAATGGGAACCAAATGATTCAACGTCCAAATGAGAGTCTCAGTGCAAACTGTTCAAAGGGCTTTAAACGATTCCAGACGATGAAAAAGTAAAAACAAATAACAAAGTTTAAGTTTTATAAGATATTTTATATCATCAAAATGAATGAATCTTTTTTTTGTGTCATTTGGTTCCTTCAACGAACGAGTTGATTTGTTCATTTTGATGAACGAGTTCGAACAGGAGAGTCACGAACGCGCATCACAGAACAGAGCAAGGCGAGCATTTGAGCTTATAAAACTTAAACTTTGTTATTTATTTATTAAATGAGCGATCGTTTCGCTTGATAAGACCCTTATTCATCATCTGGAATCGTTTAAAGCCCTTTGAACAGTTTGCACTGAAACTGTCTTTTGCACCTTGAACCGTTTGGACCCCATTGAAGTCCATGATATGGAGAAAATCCTGGAATGTTTTCATCAAAAACCTTAATTTCTTTTCGACTGAGGAAAGAAAGACATGGACATCTTGGATGACATGGGGCGAGTAAATTATCACTACTAACTACTCCTTTAACTAACATACTATAATGCATAAATGAACAAACTTTCCCAAAACTATAAAAACATGGTCGCACCTCCATCGTTAGGTTCAACACTATCGCACTGATGTTAAGACACAGGTGGAGGAGTAATAACGACTGCTAATGAAGCGATTCAAGATCACAAATACGGTTTCCACCGAAATCCAGCCATTTCAATAGGAATCTGTGCGTTCGGGACGGTCAAGTTCACCACGCTTTGGATATTTCGTGCATGCAAAAGTTTGCTAACTGTGACTTTTTTTTCTCTCCATCAAATCTGATGGAGTTTTGGTTCCTTGCCACTGTCGCCTTGCTTTTGGCTTGCTTAGTTGGGGTTATTTAATATTTAATATTTAACAATATTATTGATTACTTTCATGTTATCACTGTGAAGCTGCTTTGATACAATCTGTATTGTGAAAAGCGCTATATAAATAAATGTGACTTGACTGCACCTTTATCAGAAGTCAGATTATTACAGTTCATTTACACAAACAACAGAAAGACGTTGATTTTTTTAATCACATTAAGATACAGTATGTAATCGGTGTACACTTTACTCCCGTATACATTCGGTTCAGCTTTCTCTTACATCATACTTCAGATTCCCAATATCGTTCCCTGATCGTTGACACACTAAAATATATTAAAATGCATATTGAAAGGTAAAGAGTGTTCTGCATGTTAGCTTGCTTATTTTGCCCAAGCGCATCCTCACGAGAATCTGTTTCGAACCGCAGACGTTTGTGATGCAAATGTTGAAGTAACTAGTGTTGTCAAAAAGTAGACTTCGTCGATACTGACATCTTATAAATGTGATCTTCTGATCGCTGATGCGCGGAATTGTAAACTCCTCTGATTGGCCGCTGTGTTCATGCGCTCATGATTGGCTACAATGATCAGCAGTTCGAAAACATACTGTAATGGCGCTCTTCAACGAGCGCTTACACAGACACACACACGCGAGTGTTCGTTGATCACAGCGGCCAATCAGAGGGGTTTACAATTACAATCAAAACGTTACATCTTTTAAATCTCAAGACCCACTTTGGTACCGAAGTCACTATTGACAACTCTAGTGTGAACTATGGTTTCAGATAACTATCCCAGCTAACAAAACATATTTGGTTACACTTTACTTGAAGGGGTGTGCATAAGACTGACACGACATCTTCATAATCATGACTGGACACATGTGATAATATGAAGGAGGGTTTATGCATGTTTATGAGAACTGTCATTAAGTGTCATTCGCTCAATTATGACAATATTAATGCAAATATGACAGTTTGAGATGTCTTTGTTAGGGCTCACAATTCGATTCAATTTCGATTCACAAGCTACGATTCGATTCAATATCGATTATTTTGGATATCAGTTCCAATAAATGGCCATTTTTCTCGAGGAAATCAAATCTCTGAACTAATGCTGTAAACTATGGGAGTCTAGTTGTAAACTATAGACTTCATTAGCCTAATATGAAGGTACTAATGAACTGTTTTGTAGCTATACAAACACTTAAATTACACTTTTATTTATTTTTATAATATAAGATTATATGAAATATAAACATTTAAATGGTGGCTGTCATAAAAACTTGCCAGATTTATTCAAATATGCATTAAATATTGAAGAACATTAAGATTATAATGCATATGTAATATGGTGTATATATTTAGCAAAATGCTCCTCTCTAGAGTTATTTTTTCTAGCTGACTAACGAGTTTATGTGTTTTTTCTGAGGTAAATATGACGATACATTGATTACAAGCTGTTTAACTGACGTCTTTCCACGGTTGAAACGCTGATTGAGTGAATCAATGTGACATGATCCGGATTTGGATAAGTTGTACTCTATCTTTAACACACTTTCAGATGCTCACTCATGTTTATTTAGTGCCAAAACACTATTTATGTTTTTGAATCTCTAAAGAAAATGGACGTAATTTGAAAATTGAGACTTTTTTTCATATCAATAGTAACAAAGGACAAAGATTATTACGATTTATTGGAATCACAGCTGCGATACAATGATCCATTCATTCAAATGAAACAGGATGACTAATCGATTCTTGAGATTTAAAAATCGTCTCGATATCGGTTCGTAAAAATGAGAATCGATTAATATTTATTACCCAGCCCTAGTCTTTATGACAACTTGACATTACTAAGACAACACAACCTGTCATAAACATGACATAGATTAATGATCAAACTTCAAAAACCACTTATCTTTATGGGTTAACATTACATTAAACTGGCTGTCAACTTTTTAATGACAAATTCAATGTGTACCACTGCAGTTGAGGACAAGAAACACATGAAGAGTTCAGATGCAAAAGCCTCTAAATGCCATTTGAAATTTTCTTCTTTAATGATGATTTTTATCAAACTTGTGTATTTAAGTTCAGTAATTTCACTTAAATAACAATTAATAGGTAATTATCATTGCAATTTAAGTGAAATCACTGAACTTAAATATACAAGCTTGATAAAAATCATCATTAAAGAAGAAAATTTCAAATGGCACTTAGAGGCTTTTGCATCTGAACTCTTCATATTCATGAACCACATGACAGTTTAATGTAATGTTAAGGTGTCGTAACAAAGACATCTCAAACAGGCATGTCATAATTGAGCGAATGACACTTAATGACAGTTGACCTCCTTGACCTTGACCTCCTTCATATTCATCATGACGTGTCATATGCACACCCGTTCATGTAAAGTGTTCCCCTTTATTTCAAGGTGTCTTTGTTACACTGTAATTACACATTTGAGTAATATTAAGTAACTAGGATTAGGGATTGATTAGATTTATTGCACGTAATTACGCATAATTAATAGCTATTTCGCTAACTTTCTGAATGTTGAACATGTCCAGTTTTAAAAATGCGTTTCGTTGGTTATGTAGCAACACAAACGTCCAACTAGAAAAAACTAGTTTCATTAACGATTATTTAAGTCCAGATAACTTTGAAAGAAGGTTTTATGAACGTTACTGGACAAGTACGTTCCCTGTCAGCTGGGATGTCGGTAATGACGGACCATGTGACCATGTTTGCTTTAGAAGACGCACCCCAGGAGCCAATCACGACAGTTGATGTACATCAGTACACTCGAGGGCGGCGTCATCGCGACTCGCGGGATCTTTCTAATTGATATCTGGAGCGGATCTCGGGGTAATAAGCTGTTTATAGGGACGGCCATTTCTGACACCACGCTATTGTGTCAACACGAGGTCAAACACCCCTCCTGTTCGATCCAGGACCTAAAAATAAAGCTGGTGATAAAGACCTGCACCTGCCGCACAGTGTGGATGCATGGCTATAAAAGAGCAGATGATGGGCAGCTCGT